GCGGAGAGCTGGTCAAGCTGTTTGAGTCACTTCAGACTAAGCTAGCATAGTGATGAGAACCTCAGTAAGAAAAGAAAAATGGCCAAGAAAACGAAGAGTGCTATCCGGAAATTCTCAGTATAGCTGAAGTGGTAGAATTGCATAGCGAGCGCAGAAGAAAAGCCGCCTAATTATAGTAAACCTCGAGCCGAACTGCAAATACCTATTTTTGAAGGTCAAGATGCTAGAAATGAACTTCTGTTGGATAAATCGTACATGCTATAAATAAAACCCTGTATCCCTGATGTACCGTACTGTAGTCAAGTTTCAGAGCGTGGTATACAGTACATGTTCGCAATGATGCTTTTCAAAGCTTGTTTTTGCTCATACGCCCAGACAACAACGTGACTTTTGACTAATGGGATGAGAAGGCTCAACAAAAATGGAAGAGATACAAAAGGCTGGATGTGTATATTCTGACATTGAGTTGGTCATACTAATCCACCTTAGTTTGGGTCACTTGTGCCATCCAGTAACATGCATGAACACTCGTAAGAGAAGTCTGCGTTATGTTGCAAAGTATCGAGTAGGCCGTATAGACTCGTAAATAATTTTCTTAGAGCACCCTAACGCTCTTGATCGATGCGATCTATAAGTTCCCCGTCAGGATAATCCCCGACATATAGCTCCCAGCCTTACTCAGAATTTCTCCCGGAATAGGTACACTCTTTGCCGAGGTGAGCCTCGTGCTATGTTTGAATGCGAGCCCAGCCATGATTTCGAATATTTCTGGACCAGTAGCCACAGCATGGAGGCCTTGCCGTAATGGCCTGTGCGACTATTCTGAAGTGCTTTCAGCCATCTTTCAGCACAAATTCGATAATTTCGTGGCACTTATAATAGTCGACGATGACAGCCACTTTGTGAGCATCTCCAGATCAAGTAATTTTGGAACGCTCCGGTGATGTCTATGTATTATGTTAAGAACGATAACAAGAGCTTCCTGACTCCATCCGTGAGTAGTAAATCGATAGATCCCACGATGGTCGGTGGAGCCTTCCGCGTATGGACCTTCAACCATTGCTTGAAAGACCGGAGAAGCAAGCACTCGATGTGATCAGGAAACTAGCATTTGATAGTATACCTCCTCAGATTTATCACCGGGATACTCTCGAAAGTGTATATCCTGGGTTAAGGTGAATATTTCATTCAGTGCAGG